TTGATATAAAGCCTGTAAATGGATTCAAAACATCCACGTTTATTTTCTATTTACTAGATAATGTCAAATTAAAAATCTCAGGTGAAATCAAACTTCTATAATATTAGCATATGGAATTTTATTTCTTAATTGTTATCTAAGTAAATATTTATTATTTAGCTCATAATTAAATGTCTTGTAATTGAAACATAGTTGATCATGATATAATTTTTCAAGTTGAAATAGAGCTATCATTAACACCCTACTGGGATCTTGCAGTATTTAAAACATGTAAACAGCATTTGTGGAGCAGAATGTAACAGCTGTGAGAGAATTCTTTCATCCATATAGCTTTTCTCCAGCACTTGATCCATGGCAATGTAGCTGGAAATATTTTTTTTTCTCTTTTTATTCACAAATTAAGTCATAGCCATTCTTATGTAGTTTAGAGTTTTATGACAGGCCAGGTCTCGGTGCAATGTGATGTTGTATATATTAATCTGAATTTTACTGCTTGCAAACTGAAACTTGGAGCATTACATGTGCAGCTGACACTTAAATCAGTCATAAAGCAAATTATCTACACATCTGAAATGGAACAAAATGTCAGCAAAGCAATGGGAGTCCATCAATCCGGAATCTAGGTTTAATTTAAATCAATTCATTAATACAGTACTGTGTAGGACATTCTAATCCACAATGAAGTAAGATTGAGCAAATATCTTTGTGTTGCACAAAGTGAATCCATTATTTTGAAATCAGTAATTTTGTGCATTATTGTGTAAAGTTAAACTGAAATCAGTTTTCTTTCCAGAATTAATTTGTGATCTGCAGAAAGACCATAAGAGGGATAATCATTTTTGGCCAATTTCCATCTTGTTCAGTGTTTGTTTAAATCGCTATTTGCTAATTGAAAGCCAAATGCCAGAGTCATCCTGTTTAAATTGGCCAACCTGTCAAATATACTCTTAAATTGAGAACAAAACAAAATCACGTAGTTATACACACCTTCTGACAAACCTATAAAATGTTGCAAGTGTCTAGTGAACACCTTAAATAGATTAAAATGTAGCTTCCCCATGACAAGAACATTGAAGTAGTTGGGTGACAAAGCCAAAAAGCTAATTGCAAGATTGAGCAATAGCTTTACTAGTAGATTACACAGCAGACAAACAACATATGTAATACTGAGATGAAACCCTCCTGAAAGGCACAGATCCAAGACACCAGGATGAGTAACTAAACATTTGAGCTAAGTATTCACCCACTGGAGAACCAGTTGGGAGGTAAAGAATCCTTGGTAGATCTTACATATTGGATCTTTTCAGATTCAGAAGAGGGAATTGTTATTTTATGAGGTAGGTGCTAATGGGTTTAGAAGAATATGATGTTAAGCCAGTAATCAACTTATTAAAAATTAATGATTTTCACAAAATATTGCATCAATATGTCCATATAAACTGATTTTCCTATGTGTGTATAGTAGCCCAGAAATTCCAATAGTGGGTAGCTGTTTTGATAGTGTAGATTGGAGTGTGCATCAGAATAATGCAGAAATCCCAGTGCAGCTGACAACGAAGGAATTGCCTGGGAAGTTGTAAATTCTGATAGGCAATTTTAGTCCACCTCCATGACTGTTTTGTGCCAGCAACCATGACACGCTGCATTCAGTCTGCACTAAGAAGCAAGGCAAGGAAAAAAATGCTGTGAACCCGTAGGTTTTCTTTAAAGCTTCAATGTGTTAAAAGGCATTGTGTGTGTTCAAGTAAGGGTAAAGTGAGTGAGTGCTCAGAAAGCAAGCTAGAAACTCTGGTACATCCTGTTCAGATGCATAAGATGGGTGTGTGTCCCTGCACACAGTGCGACCTGGCAGTAGCATTGCAATATAAAGTGTCAGCTAGCTACAAAGTTGTGTATTGAAGTGCTGCAGTGTCTTCAGAATCATACTGGGATTGAGCATGGCAATATGGAGAGGCTGATGTTTCTGCAATGTCGACTTCTGAGGAATAAGGTGGTCAGTGATGATGGAATGTGTTTATATATAGAGTTTATATGGTGAATAGACCTGAACATGAAGACCTGGAGAAGCAACAGGCAAACTTTTTCTGCTAGGTAACCACTTTGACTTTCAAGTGGGGAATTGGTACCATCTAGTTTATCACCATGTAGGAATGAAGTGAGATCAACAAATAATGAGGTGCAAATGCATGGAAGTAAGATCCTTGCCACTTTCCTCGCAAGATTCTCATCTAGTCTTGAAAACCTTGAGGGGGAAAACAAACATTTTTTTGTTGACATTGAGAATCTCATTTTTCATCTGATTGTGTCCAAAATTTCTCACCATTGCCCATACTGGTCAGGGGCTGGGGAAGTTTTATTGAAAGTTTCTGACACTGATCAGAATTTCTGAACCAATGATATGGATTGCAAATTTATAAGATTTTTATGTCCCGCTGTCAGTCCTGTAGAACAAGAACAGAGTGGTCTTCAGAGTTGACTTAAAGAGAACATTTGGCGCATCTTACACTTGCATAAACATTAGTACTAACATGGAACATGTGACTATTCATAATGATCTAGCTGAAGAAGTACAATCCATATCATGGATACAAATTTTAGAAGTTGATTGGTTCATGTGAGGATGGGAACTACAGGTTGAGATCTAATGTCAGAAATGTCTTTCCTGCGACGTTTGAAGTTGCAAAACATTTCTAGGTTTGGTTTCAAACTGAAACTATAAAATATGTGGTATATGGAAATAACCTCCAATGAATAACAACAGCTTGGTCATGTCAAAACTGTTATCTGTTATTGAGAAGAATCAGTAATCTGGACAGGAATGCCTGATGAAGCATTTTCCTATTGTTTTGGATGCAGTAGTCCCTAAACTGCAAGAAGCAGTCATGACAGAAAGAACGGTTGTAATAATTGGGGGAATGGATTCCAAAAAATCATGTATGTTCACAAATGTCTTGAAATAACAGCCAATAAAATTTATTTTTATGCAGAATAGAATTTAGTTGTCAAACAATATAATTAATATTTGCGAAAAGTAAGTTGACGCTGTGATAAAAAGGATGTGATTTATTTCCATTATTTTTTTCGTGTTTGAATTTCACACTAGTGGCATATGGATATGGTATATACATGTGGAAGTGTTTAATAATTAGATCAGTCTTTTCAGAACTATGATTTTAAATTAGTATGTATCAGAGAACACATAACTGAAGGCAAGTTTTATTTCTCTTAGGAAACCAAATCTGTTCACAGCAGATAAGGGAATGTTATCTCAGTGAAAGAGTAGACTGTGAAACTTCCAGACTCAGAATGTTTTATTATAAATTTGCATTGGTCATTCAAGGCTGAGAAAGTCTAAAACTTCAGTTATGTAAGAATACAAGGAAAGTATTTTACAGATCACAAGACAGGAACTAAGGAAATATAACAGTTAAGTCAAATCTACAGATTGACAGGGAAGGAAGCTGTATTTGATTTTTGAGTAACTGCAAGGTGATATTGGGGAGCAGATGGAACTATGCTTTGCTATGTATTTTGAATTTTTAAAAACTCTTAGTTTAGATAGCTTGGTTTGGTTTATTTTTTTTTTCTAATGTACTATTAACATCTGTCTTGTTGTCAAAATCAGATCTTCAGCCTGGTGTTTATATTTTTCAGTGTAGTGCTGACATATTCAGTTTTTTTAAAAATGTATGATCTATCAAGCCAGATTTCATTCTGGGATCAGTGGCAATATCAACTAGGATCATACCAATACAGTAACTAGTAGTTTTGTAACTGCAAATACCTTTAACTAAGGGTAAGTGTTACCAACTATGCAACTCTCAAAATATCAGCTGAGGCCCTTTACATGTCATGAATTTCCTCAGTGTTCCATAGTTTGGGGTTACTTCTAATCTAAGATCATGGCAATATATCTGCATCTCAGTAATAACCACACACCCATCTCTCAACATGATCTGCCTGAATGATCCTGTTGAGCCCGACTACATCACGTAATTCCAGGGCATACTTCATGTTTTCTCCTCCACACTTGTGCAGTACCAGCAATGGACAGCACTCTTGGCTGTATTGAGACTATAGAGCTGCTACCCCTCTGATTAAATAGGAGATCTTGAGATGGGCTTTTCACATGTTACGACATGGAAGCCCAGAGGGCAAGTAATTAACTGCCTGATTTGACATAGGTTAGATGACACTTCTGAAAATGGCCATGCCAGAGTAACCCCTGGCTATCCAGTCAGTGGCTGGGACCACAGTTATATCATTAAATGCAATCCATACTCTTTCAGGATTTAATTCCACACCTGTGAAATTTCCACGAAGGGCTGTTGCATTTATGAAATAATTATTATTTAAATTTTGGCTCTGTAGTCTATTATAAGCATTCGTTGATGGCATTGCTTCCTAATTGCTTATTCCTTTATCTGAATAAAGTGCTTATAATTGCCTAAAATATTTCATTTATTATTAATTACATATAGTTATGTAATTCATGTCTCAAAACATGTTTTGCTCATTAATAGTTATAAAAATAAACTACAGTTATGTATTTTTGTACACAATCTTGGCATTGCTGGCGAGGCCAGCATTTGTTGCTATGCATCATTGGTGCTTGAACTGATTGGCTCTCTAGCTCATTTCAGAGACAGTTAAGAGTCAATCACATTGCTGTGGATCTGGAGCCACATGTAGTCCAAACAAGGTGAGGATAGTAGATTTCTTTCCCTACAGGACATTAGTGAACTAGATACATTGTACATGGTTACATGGTTGCACTTAGACCAGTATTTTTTAACTGACAATATACTTTTTTTAAACGTACAGTATACCTCAATGCCATTGCCTCCCCATAGTATGATACATAGTATTACCTGTATCGTTGGTAATTATTATTGCAAAAATCTGAACAGCAATGTATCTATTTACTGACATGTTGTAAAATTTGTCATTGGAATTCAACTACTGTAAGAGATATAAAAAAGCATTTATTTTGTTATCAGGCCCAAACAGAGATGTAGAATATGTACTTGTTGACTCTGCTGATGGATTTTTCTCCATTGATAAGTATTCTGGAATCATCAGTCTGGAAAAGGCATTGGATAGAGAGCAGCAAGCATTATACAATCTCACCATCAAAGCTACAGATCAAGGAATATCAAGGAAACTCTCAGCTTTCACCATGGTTTCTATCGTTGTGTTGGACATCAATGATAATCCACCAGTTTTTGAGAGGCGAGACTATCTAGCCACAATTGCGGAAGATGTAGGCTTGGGAACTGAGATTTTAGTTTTGTATGCTGCCAGCAAGGACATTGGTGCAAATGCAGAAATTACGTACAATATTAGATCTGGTAATGAACATGGAAAATTCAAAATTGATCCTCAAAAAGGTAAAAGTAATCTGTTCTGCTCTTCCTTCGTACCAAATCAGTTTACAGTTTAAGGTAGACTGTAGAAAATGTTTATAGGTTTATAGCAGCCAATTTTGTGATATTAAATGTTAAGTGTGCTCAATAAATGAGGCATGTTCGCTCCCCAGATGTTTGAAAACTGTAAGCATTCTATATGAAATACATTGATAATACAATGTAATTTTGCACATAAAAACTAATCTAAATATCAATATTTCAACTATAATATTTGATATTGAAGCTTCTGACTTTTTTTTTTACATTTTTATAATGGCTTCTGATGCTTGCTAAGAATTCTGTACTCACATCTTCATATAAATGAGCTCAAATTTAGAATACAGTTAAAAGCATGAAAGACCATCTGAGACAACATTTTCAAATTCATTGCAATTCTGAATTTTAATGTAATCCTCAGAGCTCCTCTTTCTCTGCAGGCATATCTAGATGCTGCTTGATCCAAATTATATTGTTGTGCAAGTCTACTGCCCTTTGAGAAATACCTTCACTGGAATATCCAATTTACTACTAAATTAATTTGTGCCAATTGGCTTTTGAGCACATGTCGATGCAAGCAAAAGAATGAATTCATTGAGGCAACATTGTTGGCATGTAAAGCCTTGCTTGATGGCAATGAGAATCAGAGAATCCATTTCAGAAATCATGATATTCCCAATTTTCTAGTGAGAATTGGTACCAGAATTGTAGATGGGTAAGGAGTGAGATTGACCTTTGAAAATGGTTGAAATAATCAATAATGAATTTACAGACCAGCTTGTACTCCACCCAGTTTTCTGTTTCATTGGCTTTGATTGAATTTTAGCATAAGTTTCATTCCAATGATAATCACTGTTGATGCTGTCTTGGCTAAAATATGACATTATGTGTTTGGAATGATTATTTTCTGTGTTGGGTTTAGATTTGCTTGACTTTTTTTGAACTTTACTTCAAACACAGGAATTGTTTCTATAATTGAATATCTCGACTATGAAACTTGTAAGGGTTACTACCTTACAGTTGAAGCCAGAGATGGAGGCTCTCCTTCACTGAGCGCAGTCACTACAGTAAATGTCAATATAACAGATGTCAATGATAATGCACCAGAGTTCAGTAGAGAAGTATACAATGCTGTTATCAGTGAAGATGCATCTATCGGAGACTCGGTCATTAAGGTATATCTTTTTATTAATGCTTTTTGCTACGCTATACTTCAAAAATTTGGTGAAGAAAGATTCTTGAGCATCATACTAGTCTGCGGTCACAAAATAGATGACTGGAAAAGGGAGTTTTGTCAGCAGACACCAGGAGTAATTACTAGGAAAGTAGAAATGCATTCATAACACGTACTTCTAAACTTTTCCCTCAATAGTTGGGGATAGTGCAGATGTAGAGGTGCAATCCATCTCTTTTAATTTTTACCCTTTGGAAGTTGCCACCATAAATTCCAACTTCAGTTTGGGGACATTCCTGCACTTACCATAGCTTTTTTCACTATTCTGCCATTTGGATCCCATCAAGCAGAAATAAATTAGCACTCAATTACGGATAATTCAATTGCCATTGGACCCTGGGCCAACCAAGAATAATATTTGTCCAGTCTTTCATTTTGGTAAGGCTGTTCTCTTGTTCATTATCATGGACCTCCAAAAATTCCAGAATGTCCATGCACTGAATATCACTATCATATCAGCACATTCTTAATATTATAATGACTTCATGCCCAAGATTTGGGGTATTAGTGGTCCAAAAGTGGTCACAGGAACAACAGCACAATTGTACACCTGCAGTTTCTAAGCTATACATAATAGCTAAAATACATTCCACAGGCATCTCAAGTGTTATGGGGAAAATAATGTGATAATCAGAGCGTACTGCGTTATCAAATGGCAGGCTTTCTGCACGTTCAATGGGGTCAGTGCAACCAAACAACCAGAGACCGTTGGTGTTTCAAGAGACCTGTCTAAATGGTTGCCAAGACTGCATACACAGGCATTTACGGTAAAGGTACACATGACTATAGTAAGTTAGCCAATACAATAGACATAAGTACACTTCTTCAAATACCCTCATTTTTCCCAAATTCCATGCTGTGTAATTTGTAGCTACAAGTTGTGCAAGTTATCTAATATACATGGTCACAAAAAAAATTATAGTTCATTTATAAAACAGGGTTCTAACTCTAGTCATTCCACTTTTGTGTGTTTCTATATATACATTGTGTATAATCTTTAGATTGTTCGCATTTCCTAAAGGTACGCATATGTGTTGTTGCTTGCTGTTTATCTAGTATCTGCTCATTCCAGGGTGATGTTCCTTCTGTAGGAAGTGTTCTTCCAACCATGATTACTGCTGTTGCCGATCCATTTCTATTGCTCTGGAATTGACGGTAATTCTGTTGTCTATGTAGGAATGAGATTACATCTTTCCAAGCAGTGAAGGCACAGCTGCTCTAGTTGTACATGGATGTCTGTCATTGTGGTCATGTACCTGGTCATGCATGTCCACCCTGTAAGACCAAAGTAATAATTGCTCAACACCATTCCCAAGTTGTCTTGTGGGCTGACTTTTACTGAGCGTATTGAATGTTTGCACTCTGTCTGACTCTTCAATACTCAGCTCTGGCATTGACTTGGCAGTTTTATCAAAGTGAAATATAGTTTCTGTAATTTCACTTGATTTTGTCACCCACACTTGGTAGTAATTCTGGCTTCAGTGACTTTTACTGTTGGAGTAGTAGTTTGGATGTGATGTGACATGAGAACTATTTTCCATGGCTTCAGTATTTATATTTCTGCACTCAAGAATTGCTGGATCTTTTCCATGTTTTATATGAAGTTTTGATTTCAAAATTTCATGATTTTTCACTGCACTGCAGTCTTTCCATTTGACTAAGGATAGTGTGAAGATGATGTATGGCTTTGAATTTTGCAATCCTTCATGAAGCAGCTAAATTTTCATTCATAAATTGGAGGTCACTGACACTGATCACAATGCCTGGAATGCTGTGATAGCTGAACCGCACTTTCAGACATTCTTCAGTTTAACTGGTAATCATTGGAATCAGCTGATCAGCCTCCCAGTAATCAGAATTGTAGCCAACAATAATATGATAATCAATCCCTGTGAGAGTTAAAAGGTCTATTTCAAGCTTTATCTGTGGTCTCCCTGGGATGTCATAAGTCATAAGTGGCTCTTCAACTTGCATAGCTTGGGATTCATTATGGACATTGCACTGACCAAATCTAAATCACATTGCTCCTGCTTGGCCTCTTCTCTTAGACATGTCTCAATTCTTTGATGTACTTCATTCAGATACTTCAACATATCTTTTTTCATTGTCTTGGAGATAATGACTCTACTTTCTTTGCACAATATGCCACCTCGGGCTATAAATTCATTACTATATGCCCATACTCTCTTACAGCAGCAAGTGTGTTATTGATACTTTCAGGTCATCCTTTCATCAGCACTTCCTGCAACGTGAAGAGTTGCGCCTTGTTACATATTTTGTCTGATTTGAGCAACACTGTTGTCTTTCAGATGCAGAGTCTCTGCTAGATTGTTGACTTTCAGACTGCGTTGAGCCATTACTTCTCATTTAATGTGGAAGATTTTGCACTCTGTCTTCATATTCTAAAAATTCTTAGTGTGTATCTCTCTTGACAGCATGTTTGTAATGTGCATCTGTTTCCCTTGCTTGTATGTTGTTTAACTCAGTTGGCTGAATGGTTGGTTTGCGATGCAGAATGACACCAACAGAGTAGGTTCAATTTCTGTACCACTGTGAAAGCCCTGCCTTCTCAACCTTGCGACTCACTTGAGGCATGGTAACCTTCAGGTTAAACTCACCACCAGTCATTTCTTTCTAATGAGAGAGCAGCCCTATGGTCATCTGGGACTATGGCGACTTTACCCTTTCATATGTTATATTTAGAGGATCACTGTGCATAAGATGTAACATTCTTTGCAGATGCTTTTGAGCAGAAAGAAAAAGTTTAAGAAAGATGTTTTGAAATGACGACTCCATTGATACTATTTCTCTACCTAACAGGTACTGATTAAAAAGCTCACAAAGACAATCGCAGGCACTCATTCTGTATATTAGCATAACATCATTTGGTTTGTTTTCACCTCTTGAATGTAAATGCAATTGGCGGCCCTTGCTTTCTAAAGGTTGCTCCAAGTCCTAGCTTGCTGGTTCACACTACAAGGTCAGCATTGTGATACCTCAACACTGATGCTGCCATCGTTAGTAGTTTAATTCTAGTGTAAGATGATTCTTGTGCACCCCAATACACTGCATGTCCTTAGAAGTGAGATTTAATAGAAGTTCGGGCTATTATCATAGAATCATAGAATCCCTACAGTGTGGAAACAGGCCCTTCAGCCCAACAAGTCCATACTGACCCTCAGAGCATCCCATCCAGACCCAGCCCCCTATAACCCGCCTAATCTACACATCCCTGAACACTATGGGCAATTTAGCATGGCCAATCCACCTAGCCTGCACATCTTTGGACTGTGGGAGGAAACCGGAGTACCCGGAGGAAACCCAAGCCGACATGGGGAGAACGTACACACTCCACACAGACAGTTGCCCAAGGGTGGAATTGAACCCGGGTCCCTGGCGCTGTGAGGCAGCAGTACTAACCATTGAGCCACCATAAAATAATGTGAGAACTTTTCTAAATAGGTCACAAATCCAACAAACCATTTCAGTCTTTTCACATCTGTTGGTCATTGCTTCTCTGCTACACGTCTCTCCTTGTCAGAATCCAGATGAGACACCTTTTACTGTCAGTCTTTTACCAACCCTCTTGAATTCAGACTCCTGAATTGCATCTTTTTCTTGTTCAGCTCAGATTGTGGTAAGCTGTCTAGCAATCTCACGAAATTCTGATCGTGATCTGTGATGTATCTCCACATCCATAGACTAGCAGATCATTCTCAACAGCTTCCACTCCAGAAAGATCACTGCTGATCTCATACTAATTGATGATCTTATGGAGCAGCAGAATTGCTAAACAGCGTGCTCCACCATCTTTATCTCCAAAATGACAGGTAGAATTTAGTTAGAAAACTGCTGATTTGATCCAGCTGCACTTGTTAGTCACTATCCTTCACATTGAAAATAGTAACCAACTTTTGCTTGGCAAGTTGTGTCACATTTTCTTCAGTGATTGGCATAGATGTTATGAGATCTCTACAAAGTTTTATTGAGATCTTTTCCATCTGTGCATTGTCTATTTTTTCAGGGTTTTTTAAAAAAATTCTGCTGTTCTAATCCATTATGTCAGACTTGCCATTATCATGATTACTCCCTTCTTTTCCAGCTCTTCCATCTTGTCTTCAGGCTAGGCTTGAGGCCAGGTTGGGTTTGCTGCATTAGTCTCTCAAATTCTTCCAATTTGTGATGATATTCACCAGGAGTCACCTAAGTCCAGTGAAAACATTTTTGTAATCTTGTAGGATCTACTTGGTAGTAAATTGCTTAGTGGCGTGCAAAATGCTTTGAATCTCTTTTGACACATTTAGGAATACTCATCCAAGTATTGGACTTACATCATTTGAAAGGAATGAACTTTGCTTAACACCTATCTAGAACTGGTTCTCACAACTGTAATGGGCTCTAGGCTTCATTTGTTCTCTTGGCATGAATAGCATTCTATCTTATAGCATGAACTTAATTTAAAAGCCATAATCTTTCCAGTCACTATCTTGAACTACTTCATATAGATCTGCAAAACTCAAGATGCTTAATAAAATAATGTATCTGTCTACCACTTCACGTTCACTTGATGCGCTCCTGTTGTCATCATTCGACCAGTCAAAAACTATTTATCACCTTTAGACCTGATGATGCCAATCTGTTGTATGGTGTAAAACAATTCATCAGAATCTTCAGCTGACATCTCTCCAGTAGCCATCTCTATAGGTTTGCATTGCTTCTTTGTAGCTAAACACTTGCATGCAAAGTGATTCAGCGTCTCTCAGTTAAAGCTGCCCCCATGCTAGACAAGCTTCCATTTCTTTTGTATAGTGTTCTCTGCAAATTTGCATCTTGTCCCCTGGCCTTGACCTTTATGTAAATATTTCTTCCTTTTTACCAATCTGTGATTCTCATTTGGCTTGGAATGTTTCTTGGCACATGTGTTATCTGATGATTAATTATTTCAGAGCTTCTGTACATCTTAATAGCTTCCTTGAGTTTATTTTCCTGTCCAGGCAAAGATGCTGTCACGGCAGAATCTCTTATGCTTAAGATAAACCCAGCTCTGATGAGATAATCTTTCAGTTGTCTAAACTCTCAGGGTTCAGCGAGATGTATCAGTGCAGCCATTTATTGACCACCAGACTCCCTTTCCCAAGAGCTCTAATGTTGAACATGTCTTGTGTATACATTAGATAACATTAATATGGAATTCAAAGTCTATCTTCAAAGCTTTCAAAATCTTTCCTGTTGACATTTCTGCTCCTGAATGAGACTTTGGCTATATTGCAACATGTGGCACTCTTTTCCCAGCACTGACAGTAGGCTTGGAGCTCTTATTTGTGCAGCTTTTCTTTTCATTAATTCTGTTGCTATTTCATTGTTTTGTTAATGAGGATAGAAAAAAATTCTAGTTCTGTTTCATTTCTCCTTTCACTCCAACAGTAGAAGGGAGAGGAAAATTCTCAGCCATGTTGATTTATCTAGTAATTCAAAGTTGAGGACTTTTTGAGAACTTTTCCATTGTTGTTGTTGCACCTCACTGAGGAAGTGCATTGGCAATAAAACCCCATTTTTCCTGGAGTCATCACAAAAGTTAAAGCTTTTTTTAAACAAGTATATAGAATTCCCCAACCTACCTATCTTTGAAACCCAGGTTGATGGAAAGCACAGCTCTGGCTTCTGTACTTAACATAATGACTTTTTATTACAAGTAAATAGACACGAGCTACAAGAAAACAATTATGCACCGTAAACATGAAATTCTACTTCTAAAGCCCATTCACATAAACTCCCCTTATACACATGCACACACACAACACGTGTGTACCCACATATTGAAAAGAAATATGTGTTTATGGACAGAGGGAAAATTGGGAAAGCGGTTCAGTGGTTTCTGTTCACAGGCTCTGGTGAAATGGTTCTTCTGGGCAGAATGCTGCTTCTCAGTCTTCCTTTTTTGGATGCTTCCTCTAGTTTGCAAGAGGCACAGAATAGCTAATTCACTTATAAAAGATCTTTGACTTCTTAATTTAAAGTCGCTGCTTGCAGCAACTGCTGATGGAATGATAAATTGGATTTCTTCAGGCTTAAAAGGGCTTTTACTGCAGAGCACAGTGACAGCTTCTGAGCTGGTGGAGTTCTGATTACTTCATATCTTAACACAGCCCCAAGGTGCTATCTGAGAATTTGTTGGCAACTGGAAGGCCTTTGCCATTAATAATTGATCACTTATCTACAGACCAATCAGCTTCTTAGAAACCAGAGCTGCATCTGTACACAACTCTTCATCTCCAGCTCATCCACCACTGAAGCTTCAATTACTGATTGAACAAGCAAATGTATAATCAATACTTACAACGAATGCCAGGTTACTTGCTTTCAAAACATTCAGCAATTCTTGGTTTTTAACTTCTTCTTTTCCTTATTTCAATCCACAATTAAAACTGCAGAAAAATAAAAAATACACTGCCTTTATACCTTTTATTTCAGTAGCTGACTTCTTTAAAAATCTTCTTTACAGCTTTAAAAATCCACACATTTTCAGTTGAACATTCTTTCCTGTCTTTTCTACAATACCTAGCTATCTTACAGTTCTGAAAATGCATCAGTCCCAGTGCTTGACTCCTGAAACAAAGTTTAAAATAATCTGTTTTATTGGCTGACAAGACTACACACAAAGGCACTTATAGCAGTAATAGACGGCTACCTCAAGCCAGTCAACACACGAAGTACAACTCTACTTCTCCCAATACGGCTAGGAACTGGTGCAAAATGGTGGGACAGTGGCTCAGTGGGTTAGCACTGCTGCCTCACAGCACCAGGGACCCAGGTTCGATTCCACCCTCGGGTGACTGCCTGTGTGGAGTTTGCACATTCTCCCTGTGTCTGCGTGGGTTCCCTCCCACAGTCCAAAGATGTGCAGGCTAGGTGGATTGCCCATGGTAAATTGCCCGTAGTGTTCAGGGATGTGTAGATTGGGTGGGATGCTGTGTGGGTTGGTGTGGACTTGGTGGGCCAAAGGGCCTGTTTCCACACTGTAGGGATTCTATGGTTCTAAAACAAAGTATAAAATATGCTTCCAATTCATTTACGGTTGGTACCCTCCTTCCATTGTAACTTTTACACCAATTATCAACTTTGAGACCACATTATTTTGAGTCCTTGCCCCCAAGTACCCCATTCGCTGCAACAGCTCTATAATCTTGGTGCTACCCTATTTGTCTTGGCCCTCTTATGCTTTGGAAGCACTGTGGCTAGAAGACCACTTGTATGTTGCAATTTCAAAGTGACTCTGCATAGATTGTATTTATTTCCTGAGAGCAGATTGTGTTACAGTCTGCTATTTGTGCAGGTCACAAAGGTTTCTTCAATTATGCCAATGAAGAACAAAAACAAGACAGGTAACAACACCCTGTCTGTCCTCAAGGAGCTGACAGAGTTTGCACAACATTACTTTGAAATAGCGCTTCACAACAAATAATTAACCTCATCAACTAGCAACTACATTTTCCTCTACTTTCTAAATCCTCCTCCAAAGCAAACCTTTTAAGGATGCCTTTGCCAGCTCTCCAAACTTAATGCTTGGCATCTGTTTCACCACTAATACGAGGGTTTTACTCTTTAAAATCTTTCATTAAGTTAGAGATATTATGAGAGTGGAAGTTGTATTTGTTAATATATCACTTTGCAAGTATGCTGATGGCAAACACTTCCAGCTATTTTATACTGTTGGTTTCATTTCTTATTTTGAATATAACATTTATAATTGATTCACTTTTGATGTTTGACCATGGTAGAAGTGCTATTTTTTTTATTGCATTTCTCAATATTAACCTAGAATTTATTTGCTTAGGTTCTGGCAGAAGATTGTGATAGTCAGATCAATGCACAGATTCATTTTTCCATTGTGAATGGAGACCCAGACAACTACTTCAATATTAGTCCAGTCACAGGCTTAATCAAGGTCAAAGAGCGACTTGATAGAGAAAAAGTAAGAAAAGATTGATCAAAGAACCTTGTTTTAACATCCTGTAAAATATTTCCAATTTGAACTGCTGTGTCTTTCTTGGTAAATTTACTGTGTGGTTAGTATTGATCTTTATAGATCAATGCTCATTTCAACATGTTGTGAAGTTAGCTGGGGTAGAAATGACATTCTGTATTCAGCCATTATATTTCTTGGCTATCTAGAAAGAAACTACAAGCAGATTGCTGAAAAGTGCTAAACCATTGATGCTTTTATGTATTTAACTTGTGATTTAATGTGACTTTCACGATGTGAACAGCATAAACATACCATTGAGTATGCTGAGGTCCCCCAGATGATTATATTACTGTAAATAATGGAGGACGATTTGACTGACAGAATAATTAAGTTGCAGTGCAAGGAAAAATACAGTAAATGCATGTTTCAAAATAATGTAAATCCCTGGTTTTGCACAAAGATAAAGAAAGGAGTTTATTCAATTTGCAGAGGAAAGTGTATGCCTTTACCAAATGCAATTATCTTAAACTAAATCTATTATCTTATCTTTTTAGGAACAAAAACAGAAGTTGCTGGAAAAGCTCAGCAGGTCTCGAAGGAGTTCTGAGGAAGGGTCACCGGGCCCGAAAGGTTAACTCTGATTTTTTCTTCACAGATGCTGCCAGACCTGCTGAGCTTTTCCAGTACTTCTGTTTTTGTTCCTGATTTACAGCATCTGCAGTTATTTCAGTTTTTATCTTTTTAACCTGATTCTATATTTCCAAGTACTAGTTGTTTCATTTATTTTGATCTATGTGAGTAATTTTATTCTAAATCATAAAAATTATGTTTAGAGTAGAGTTTTTAAACCTGAGTAAAACAAAAGCATTATTTGTTGTTTATTTGTTGTTATTTTCTTGCGCAAACTAGCCTTTTGCTGAAACTTGATGCTGCATCTATTGAGTGTCAGGACCATGCCAAATTGCTTAGCTGAAATCATTAATCATAAATTATTACCCCCATTTATGATCCCTCAGGCAGTAGAGGCAGTCATAGGTCAGGAGTAGAGGGCCAGTGTTTGGATGAACTGTGACCGGCAGCAGCCCACAATTTTAATGTTTCGTCGGAGAGAGCATATCTACATCTTGTCAGTTGAGTAAATGACAATTCTAACAGGAAGTGAGATTCTGTTATTGCTCAGGTTATCAGTTTTAATTGAGCAAAAAGTAATTGTAGTTTGGTTTTATTATTCTATAAGTTGATATTAGAAACCAAAGATTTTTTTTGTAGCTAATAATAAAATGATGGGTAAAGGTAGGTATTCTGCTCTTGGAAGAGAATTCAGAGGGGTAATACTTCTAATCGTTGTTGCGCATTCATCTCTGCTAAGATGCATTTTCTTTGGTAGGTCCTGATTAATTGCTCAAAATTGGCTTCTAGCAACACTCCTGACAGCAAGAATAAGCACTCCTGCATCCCAGTGCAAAGGAGAAAACTGATGATCTAACAGTGGGAACACTGTTTTAGATTAAAAAGATTAAGAACATATGAGGATTACTTATTTCAAAGGGTTGTGAATCTGTGGAATCTCCTAAGAAGGCGATAGACAAATTTTAATTAGTAACCAGTTGAAGGTGGGCAGAAAGTGGAGTTGAGGCTGAGATGACATTAGCCATGATCTTATAGAATAACGGAAGCAGGTTTGAGGGGCTGAATTGCTTGCTCCTGCTCCTAGTTCTTATGGTCTTGTGTTCTCGTATCTTGTAAATACAGATGTGTACTAATTCTGAGAAGCAGCGAGCTGGGCCTTCAAAAGGGAAGTTACTTCTAGCAAAATGGACAGAGACAAGTCTATTATAGGGCCCACTCCCTCCAAGGAGCCACTTTATGGCTATTAGTGCAGCTTCTTCAATCTCCCTGTTAATTTCTACATAGCAGCTACAGGAAGGTAGATTCATGGCCATACCTCCTTACGTCGATGAAAATAATTAGCAAAGCAGTTGCCCTTCTTAAAAGTGTAGGGGAGAAAAAAAGATTCAAGTGATACTAAGGACCACCATCCCAATTCAGTTGCAACTTGGTGGCAGAGAATAGGTGCCACCTTAACTGCAGTCTTATCTCTCAGTTGAAAGGTCATGAAGTTCAAGTCCTATTCCAGAATGTGGTTGCAATATTTAGGTAACAAAGTATTTGAGAATGCTGATTTATTAATGTTTGCATTATTCTAATAAAATATGGGGCTGAGATTTTGTTTCACTATTTTAATGAATTTAACAATCACAGAACTGTTGCAAAAGAGGAGGAGGCCATTGAGCCTGTTGCATCAGTACAGCATTCCATCGGAACAATTTCCTGAGTGCCCTTCACCTGCATTGACCCCCTGGGTCTGCACATTCTTCCTTTTCTGATAACAATCTAATTATTAATGAATGAATCAATTGATCCCACCTGTGACACATTCTCAGGCAGTGTATTTCAGATTCTAAATGCTTGTTGCATCAAAACATATTTTTCCCTCATGATGCCATTGTTTCTTTTACCAGTGATCATAAATCTGTGTCCACTCGTTCTCAATCCTTTCACCAATAGCAACAGTTTTTTTTTTCCAATCTACTCTGATCAAACTCCTCATGATTTTGAATATCTCTATCAAATTTACTATCAACCTTCTTTCTCCAGGAAAGATAGTTTCAATCTTTACAATCGAACTGTGTAACTGAAGTTCTTCATGTCTGGGGCCTTCTCTCTGTAATGTCTTCAAATTGGGCACAAGGTGAGGCTGAGTGGTGTTCTGTACAATAATATAAAACATAGAACTGCAGATGCTGGAAACCTGAAACAAAAATTGAAATTACTGGAGAAATTCAGCAGGTCCGGCAGCATCTGTGAGAGAAAGCAGTATTAAATGTTTTGAGTTCAGTGACCCTTCAGAACTGTCAATGTTTTGGAAAAGGTGGTACATATACTGAAATTAGGGCAGTGGGGGATAATGAAGTGAGTGGTTGGAGATGGAACCTTTTCAGAGAGAATGACAGTTAGGCAGACAAAGGAATGGATAATATACCAAGGAGAAAGAAAACTGATGATAGAGAGGTGAAAATGGATTGGCTGTGTTGAACGCAGCCCCTGTCATGAAATAAGTTGTTCAAAAATTATTGAACTCAATATTTGAGTTCTGGAGGTTGCAGGTTCCCCAAGCAAAAAATGAGATGCTATTCTTCTAGTTTGTGCTGAGCCTCATTGGAGCACAGTAGCAGGCTCGAGACAGAAATGTAGGCCAGAGAACATGGTGATGTGGTGAAGTAGAAGGCAACTGGAAGCTCGGGATCATTTTTGTGGACAGAATGCAGATGTTTCGCAAAGTGATCGCTGAGTCTTGTCTCCCAGTGTAGACAACCACAATGTGAGCAGCAAATACAGTAGAAAACATAAAGTGAAATGCAGTTTCACCTGGAAGTTGTGTCAGGAGCCTTAGATATGAAAAAAGAGGTAAACGGCCAGGTGTTGTAAGTTCTGCTTTAGCATGCTCTTTGGAAGGCTGGTGTAGACTTGATGGGCTGAATGGCCTCTTCCTGCACTTTAAGGATTCTATGGTTTACTTGTCTACCCATTTTACTTACCTCTACACCCTTTTGACATTCTAAACATACCTCTTCAGAATGTTTCGTGATTTTGAAACGGTGTCTTCGTTATTACATCATTTAATGTCTACATTGTTAATCTATGTGTATCTTCCTGATAAAAGTCTAAATACCATCCCTTGGATATCTCCACGGCAAAACATTCTCCAGTCTGATGAACATCTGTTAACCACTATACTCAACTTCCTATCACTTGACCAGTTTGGTATCTATGTTGCTACTTTCTTTTTCTTAACGAGCAATGTCTTGCACACAAATCTATTTTGCATCATTTTTGAAATTCATTCTGGAGGTTCCTACACACCACATCAATAACATGATCCTCTTACCACACCAGAAGCTTCACCAAGTTAGTTAAACATGATTTGTCCTTAACAAATCTATGGAAGCTTTCCTGAATTAACTCATATTTATCCAAGTGACAATTAATTGTGTTGAATTATCATGTCCAGAATCTTCCCTCGCACCCAATTTATACTGACCGGTTAGTAGTTGCTGGCTACAGTAATCTCCTGGTTGTTTATGAATTTATGAACTGTGGATACAGAATGTCGATCACCTTTGTTTAAGTTTTAACAGCAGTTTATTGTATGAACTGTGTGATGAGGTTTTGATACGGTAAACTACTTGGCATGGAGTATACTGGTTGTGTTGGAATCATACAAGCTATTAAAATTCTTGTATCAAATTTATTTAATGGAGATGAGCATCAACTTGAAATAAGTAGCTAAAGTGTCAGTTAAAATAAGATTCAATGGTTTTAATTTGAGTTTTCATATTAGCATAGAATGTTTATGCTCAGATGATGAAATTGTGGAACTTATCTTCAACATTCACTAACTGGCTATGTTAACCAAAGTATTAGTGCAAAAGTTTATGCCTAGTACAAGATTTTGCAGAATTGTGTTCAGTTTGAATTTGAGTCATGAGAATACCTCGAAGTATTATGCAATTAAAGAAATCTTTCTGTCAAATGCTCTTGAATGCTTTGAATAGACTTGGTAAATTATCTTGTAATGATAATTTAATTGCTCCAACAGATATCAGGGTATTCATTAACTGTGCAAGCCAAAGACAGTGGAACACCTTCCATGTCATCTACAGTTACTGTGAATATCGATGTCTCAGATATTAATGATAATCCTCCTGATTTCATCCCAGCAAATTATTCAGCTGTCATTCAGGTAAATGTCTGAAGTAGCTCCAATTCATGTTTCTTTCGTATATTATTCAAATTGATTAGAATGATATAATCATCAGGTTTTAATGTGAATCATGCTCATATCATGCATCTTTATTTTCAACTTATTTCAGATTATTTATATCAAGAAAACCACTTTTTGCTTCTGAATACATTAGGAAATATTCTGAATTTGAATTGTTCTAATAGTGATACATTTTGTTAATTTTTGGTGGATCTGAGGTATGTTTCTTGGGTATCTAGTTCTCAGGTGGGTTTATATATTCTTGGTTATATGTTCTTGCTATTGAAAATGTGTATGGTAAATTAGGAAGCACAGAAGCAAAAAAACCCAATTGTTTATCCTGCCCAAAATTAATACCTTGCAATAGTGCACTTCTTCAAATACCTTGCAGGCTTCCCCTTAAATTGTTCAGCCTTCCTGCCTGCAGTGCCTCACTGAATGTCTTGTTCCATGTGCTCAGCGCACCCTATGATAAGCAGTTAAACATGGACTGTCTGCAGACTTTTTATTTTTGGGCTTTGTAGTAATTTCAAATATCTTATTGTGGTTCGGTTTTAGTATCACCTGAATCTCGAAACACATCATCATAGAATCATACAATCCCTACAGTGCGGAAGCAGGCCATTTGGCCCATATCGACCCTCCAAAGAACATCCCACACAGACCCACCCTATTCCTAGATTTCCCATCGCAGACACTAGGGGCAATTTAGCATGGCCAATCCACCTAACCTGCACATCTTTGGACTGTGGGAGGAAACCAGAGTACCCGGAGGAAGCCCACACAGACAAGGGGAGAATGTGCAAACTCCACACAGACAGTCGCCCGAGGGTAGAATTGAACCCAGGTCCCTGGCACTGTAAGGCAGCAGTGCTAACCACTGTGGCAAGACCTGCTATCCTCTGGAATGAAATCTCAGAATGTTCTAACTCACTCCCAAAGATCAACAGTTTTGAGCTAGGATTTGATACCCTCTTCTGTATTTGCTGCAGAACAACAGACAGCAATGTGGTAGTTCACAAATTTCGAATATGTATACATTACCTTGAATATGGACATACCCCCTGATACTTGCTGTGATCTAGTTATATTTACTTACTATTTTGTCCATTGCACATTACTTTCAAGAATCTATCAACATGTCGTTTGATATTATATTATGTCTTGAAGTGTACAGCAATTTAGTTGAAATTCTTAGGGGCTACATTCAATAACTTTTGAAAACAAATATGGGAATTGTGAGGACAACTAATCAGCACTAGATTTTCTTTTCCTGATGCTGTTAGTTTGCATGATTGTTATGTGCAGTCAGAACTAAAAACACTTGAGTTACTACACGCTTCAAAGGTATTGTACAAGTTTGTGCAAGACTTAAAAGGGGACCTGACCTATTTAAAGACAGCCCGCATCTTTTAAATGGGAGGCATTTTCCATCTGGATCTGTTTCTGGAAGAGAACCTGAGCAAGAAGAGTGTGAAGAATTATGGTGCAACAGGTGGGAAATTGTCCCACCAGGTTCTTGATACTACTTTGATTGCCTTGCCAAAGAACTAAAACAAAAGGGAATATGTAATCTAACAGCAGGGTACCAGTTGAGATCTTGATCCATGCCATCAAATTGGTCATTTAGTAGCCAGACCTACACCAAACCCCCATTAACAACTGGAATATGGTGGGAAATGGTGCTTAACTGTTAAAGGTCCCAGTCGCCCCAAGGGCAGGCTGACACTTAAGAACTGCTTTGTCACTGCTTAAATTTGATAGCATTGACTCATCAATGTTACCTCCAACCTCCTCCTCCAACAAGCTACTGGCCAGCTTTTTCCTAGTTGTAGTGGGATAAAGGCTTCATGCCTAAAGTTCAAGCTTAAATCTCATATTTTTGCACCAACATTCCATAACTGCCTCTTCCTTATTATTTTAAACCCTGTCTGCCATAATGTTGTGACACCTGAAAGTGTCAAAATATAATTTATGTTCCTGGTTCCATATCGTTTATATAGCCAAGAGACAGCTGTGGCCCCAGCATTGATCAGCATGGTGCTCCACGATTGACTGCGTGGGACATCAGCAAAGCTTTATTAAGCCCCACTAGCTCATCCTATTTTCAATCTCCCCATAAACCTTTATCTATTTTCGATGGTTTTTGTACTACGCAGGCTTGTATTGCAAGGTTTCAATACCCTTGTTAATATGTATCTATATCAAACCCACAGACTTTGTGCCCAACAAGATTCATCTATTGCTGAGAATTTTTCTTCTGCTAAACCTATTGCCATTCCGTTATCTGTCTGAATGTTTTATTAGCTACATGTTGAAGAAGCTTTCATGCAGAATTCTGCATCATTCCTTAGCATTGAAAGCGATCAGTATCTTCACAATGTTAACCTCACCTATGCCACTGCATTTTTCTGGAAATATCCAGCAGGTTGGGCAGTATCTGTGGGGGAAGAACAAAGCCAATGTTTTAGTCTGCTGACCTTTCATCAGAACTTTCAGAAGTTAGAAATGTAAGGCTTTAACCAAGTGTAAAAGGCGAGTCTGGAAAAAGAACAAAAGAGAAATTCTGTGATAGTGCTTCACAGCATGAAGTTATACCAACAGGTATGAGTGACCGTGTTTCATGTCCAGTATGACACTTCAGCATCTGAACAAAAGTCATAATGGACTCAACCTTAACTGTTTGCTCTTCACAAATGCTGCTAGACCTGCTGAATTTTTCCTTTTTTATAAATTTCAGGTTTCCAGAATCCACAGTGTTTTGCTTCTATTAGGTACCAGAATTTGTATTTGACTATTGCCAATATCACACACTTTGTGCAATAGCATATAACTTCTGTCTCTTTTCCACCTCCACCATTCTTCCTTTAAAATCCTCTACTAAATCTACTCATTTAACAAGGAAGCATGTATCAGGTATGGACAGCAGAGATCAAGTGAATCCCTAGAAGAGGATAAAGACAGCAGGAGTATACTTAAGAGGGAAATCAGGAGGGCAAAAAGGGGACATGAGATAGCATTGGCAAATCAGGTTAAGGAGAATCCAAAGAGTTCTACAAATACATTAAAACAAAAGGGTAACTAGGGAGACAATAGGGCCTCTTAAAGATCAGCAAGGCTACCTCTGTGTAGAACCACAGGAAATAGGAAGATACTGAACGAGTATTTCTCATCAGTGTTTACTGTGGAGAAGGATATAGAAGATAGGGAACATGGGGAAATAAATGGTGACATCTTGAAAAATGTCCATACCACAGAGGAGAAGGTGCCGGATACATTCCCGGGCCCTGTTCTGGGGCACAGAGAAGTGATTGTTGGGCCCCTTTCTGAGATATTTGTATCATCAATAGCGACAGGCAAGGTGCCGGAACACAGGAGGTTGGCTAATGTGGTGCCACTATTTAAGAATGGTGATAAGGAAAAGCTGGGGAACTATTAACCAGTGAGCCTGACATCAGAAGTGGGCCAGTTGTTAGAGGGAATCATGAGGGACAGGATTAACTTGTATTTGGAAAGGCAAGGACTGATTAGGGATAGTCAGCATGGCTTTGCGCGTGGGAAATCATGTCTCACTAAATTGATTGAATTTTTTGAAGAAGTAGCAAAGAGACTTGATGAGAACAGAGCAGTGGACGTGATTTATACGGACTTCAGTAAGGCATTCGACAAGGTTCCTCATGGTAGACTAGCAACGTTAGATCACGTGGAATGGAGGAAGATCTAGCTATTGGGATACAGAACAGGCTCGAAGGTAGAAGACAGAGGGTAGTGGTCGAAGGTTGCTTTTCAGACTGGAGGCCTGTGACCAGCGGTGAGCCACAAGGATGGATACTGGATCTACCGCTTTTCATCACTTACATAAATGATTTGGATGTGAACATAGGAGGTATGGTTAGTAAGTTTGCAGATGACACCAAACTTGAATGTGTAGTGGACAGCGAAGAGCATTATCTGAGAGTACAACGGGATCTTGATCAGATGGGCCAATGAGCCGAGGAGTGACAGATGGATTTTAATTTAGATAAATTTGAGGTGCTGCATTTTGGAAAGGCAAATAACGGCAAGACTTATATACTAATGGTATGGTCCTGGGAGCATTGCTGAACAAAGAGACGTTGGAGTGCAGGTTCATTATTCCTTGAAAGTGGAGACCCTGGCAGACAGGATAGTGAAGAGGGTGTTTGGTATGCTTACCTTTATTGGTCAGTGCATTCAGTATAGGAGTTGGACGATCATGTTGTCGCTGTACAGGATATTGGTTAAGCCACTATTGGAATACTGAGTGCAATTCTGGTCTCCCTGCTACAGCAAGGATGTTGTGAAACTTGAAAGAGTTCAGGAAAGATTTACAAGGATGTTGCCAGGGTTGGAAGGTGGAGCTATAGGGAGAGGCTGAATAGACTGGGGCCATTTTCCCTGGAGCATCAGAGGCTGAGGGGTGACCTTAGAGTTTTATAATATCATGAGGGGCATGGATAGGGTAAATAGACAAGGTCTTTTCCCCAGGGTGGGGGAGTCCAATATGTTTAAGGTGAGAGGGGAAAGATTTCAAAGGGACCTAAAGGGCAACTTTTCCATACAGAGGGTGGTGCATGTATGGAATGAACTGCCAGAGGAAGTGGTGGAGGCTGGTACAATTACAACATTTAAATGGCATCTGCATGGATATATGAATAGGAAGGGTTTCAAGGGATATGGGCCAAATGCTGGCAAGTGGGACTAGATTTATCTAGGATATCTGATTGGCGTGGCTGAGTTGGACCGAAGGCTCTGATTCCATGCTGTATATCTGTATGACTCTATTTTCTCTGCATCACGGCTATTTGCCCTCTGAACATGAAAATTGATATTTCTAAATTGAGTAAAGACTATTTTATCTGTTAAATATGCCAATCCTCATACAACTTGTACCAAAGTGGGGAGTTGAAACACTTCTTTTTTCTTCTTCTTTCTACATCCAGTGATGGATCCAAATTTTCCTCCCTAAATTGTCCATTGTGTGGCACCGGATCTGAATTGCTTGATAGCTCCGAGTCTCTGTTGGACTCACCATGCAGTAAGCTGGATGGCCGCATTCCATACAGACTTTGTGCAGTCTGAAGCAGATTCTGTGGTTGACTGCTTCTTTCCACAGAGGCCTCACAATTGAGCTGGAGTGGATGGCTGACATTGTCGATTATGTCATATTTCACCAGAAAGTTATGAACAGGATCTTGGTTGGTTTTGATAGCATTTGAATCTCCCTATTATCACCTTTTGTCTGTTTCTGCCAAAGAACAGACAACCTTGCAAAAATAACAGATATTTCTATTATGTGTCCTTTCTCTAGGCATCTTTTAAGATTTTTAAATTTTATTTTGCATTCAACTCTGATGGAATAAAACAGCTAATTCTAAGCCAACTGAAAACTTTGTTCCAATGCTGAAACATAACCTGTAAGGAACAGAAATGACATAGGAATGGAGCCAGAAAAACTCCTACCATTTTAAAAAATGCATTGAGAACTTTTATGCTCAGTCTAGTACCAAATGCTCCTATCAGAAATTTGATCATCCTCAGATCAAACTCATCAGAGTGTTATGCCAGGAAATGGCCTACCACTGTACATAGAATGAAATCTTATTAAAATATTTTTGATATGCGGGGACATTGCCATCAGGGTCTCTTTCTTGTTAACCATTCAGATATTTTTGTATGACTGAGGTAGCATATTTTATATGCTGCCTCGTTCACAACTCATGCTGTGCAGGGCTTAGGAGAGAAAGTTCATGCCTGTGAAGTTACACTCACATTTTAGGAATGTAGTTTAACAGTAGCAATGTTTTTAGGCTGTTCAGCAGGATGATATACCAGTAATTTTTAGTGTTAATGGGAAACCGTATTCGCTTTGTGGACCATTGTGATAGCAGTTAATTTCCAGGATCTCGGGCAGTTGTTCCACTGTAATGACTCAGTGAAGATCTTGACAATCAAAGCTACCATTTCATCCAGTGTCTGAAATAGTATATTTTCCCAGAAGATCCAACTTGTTTTGTATACATCAAAATGATGGTCCAGTACGATCAGTTTGTTCTTTTCCAAGTATTACTTGTTTTTGACTTTTTTATTCCCCTTTGGAGAGTGAAGACTTTTTTTTTGTTTTCTGGGTCATTTCTCACATGCTTGGAGTTCTGCAGCTGTACTAAAGCAGTTTCTACGATGGCAGTTTGAAGCTTGAAAAGTAATTGTGCAAAGTAATATTTCGCTCTTTTTCCAGTTTTTATGTAAAAGTTAGTATTTTGGTGTAAGCAGCACAGAGGCCATTTTAAGACCTTCATTCTGTGGATCTGATGCCAGAATCATTTGATCTTTTGGTCCTCATCAACTTTTCTGCAATAAATGTCGATTTATGTTTCATCGTTGTCCTGGGGTAGTTAACAGAGCTTGATTTATGGATGATTGTTTGGTATGTTTATGTCACTGCAGGGATCATGTTTTAATGAAGGTTGCTGTTGGTTATGTTTTCAATCATTGAGTTGTTTGGAGGACGTTTCACTGTGATGCCTAGCAAGATTTCTCACTGTATTTTTCCAAACTCACCTCATTAACTACATACTGCACACTATGGATGCAAGAAGGGATAGGTGAATAATTATGTTTGTGCTTAACTATAAATTTACAACAACATCATTGAAATCTTTGAAAGTCTTTTGAAATTTATGGCTATCGATATATAAAACAGATTCTGCACTTTTTAAAAAGTTTTTTAATCATTTCATAAGATCTTACCCATGACCTCCGTGTCAACCTATGCTCCTCCACTTATCCCAGTGTTCCTTCATCCCAATATTACTTCGTACACTTCATGCCAACCTATGGCACTTCCATGCCCAATACACACACTGTGCAGAATCGATGACCCCTATAGTAACAATGACATATATGAGAAAGTAAAATAAACTGCTTTTCCTACAGTCCTATAAAAGCATGAATTATCATGAGTAACAGAAACGATAAGCGCTTGAAGCCTCTTTACCCAATGTAAATAAAAATTGTGCAGTTGACAAAATAGATCTAAGCAAAAGAGTTATCAATAAGATTTTTTTTTCTTTGGACATAACTGTCTGAACAAACAAATGCCTGGCTCTCAGCCGAGAATACGTGGCAAGAACAAAAATCCCATTCTTGCAGACACTTTGTATGGGGGTGGGTGCGCCGTGCTAAGAAATTTGCCAACTTCTGCTTTCCACATCTTGGATGAAAATCCAGCCCTGTCTCACTTTCCTTGCTAGACTGTTGAATGTGATTAATATTGGAATTAATTCCTTTTTTGCATCTTTGTACAGATCATACCTTTGGCAACTCAAAATTTAAAAGAATGCAACGTATTTATGTTAGTGTGAAGTTCTATTATTTTCCGGAGTCATGAAGATTTTTTCTTTAAATAAAAGCTGAATTGGTTTATCTTATGCCAATGTAGTCATCACTGTATTGAGATATATATATATATTCACCTTTCATGTGTTTGCAGGAAAATAAATCTGTGGGCACCAATATCCTGCACCTTTCAGTGACTGACAAGGACTCTTCCCACAATGGGCCTCCGTTCACATTCACGATAGTTGCTGGAAATGATGGGAATGAATTTGTTTTAGATCAACAAGGGGTTCTGAGATCTGCAATTGTGTTTAAACAGAGGGATGCAACAGAATACCTTCTGCATGTGCAGGTAAGAGATTGTGCCAGTCTTGTGCTTTTACTCCAACAGTAAGATTTGTTTTGTTCAAAAATGTGGATGCTGTCTGAATCTCAGGTATCTTTGATGTAAAAGAAGAAAGGGTATGCATCTAAGAAGCATTTGTTTTCCTTGGATTCAAGTTCTTAGCAGACAATATTTTTCTCAACTGAATCTTTTGAACTGAACACCATGTGTTGTCTGTTAGAAGAAGCCAATTCAAAGCGCAATACATTTTTCTGTCCTGAGGCTGATAATCAGCTTGTTTTGTAGTGTTATAAATGTTAAAAAGAACTTTTCATTTTACTAATATTATGATAGTTGGTCCAGTGTATAATTTAGATTGCAATTGATAACATATTTCATGATGCTGGATTTGAAGTTACAGCATCCGTTGACTAAAATTATGAAATTTACTCTGATGCAAAGAAGTTCGATCTGGTTCCAAAATCTGTTTCTACAGGTGGTTTATTTCATTCAGTCAACAAGATAACAAATTAATTTAATTTTGAAGGGAGAAATAATAGCCCAGATAGACAGCAGTAAGAGATAACTTTTCAATCAAACTCAATTCTGAAATTAATAATTCATAAGTTATGAAGTGAGAATGATTTATGGTCAACCACGTACAAAACGTATATCTTATCTTGTCTGAGGACTGCACTCAAGTTTAATTACCTTTACTACAGTACAGAGATAAATGATTTTGATGGAGATTACGTAGCCTTCTGAGAGTCTTCATTTCTTCTATCACTAGTTAATTGCCCAATCAATAAAACCACAACTTATCTAGTTGTTCAAAACATGTTAAAATAAAAGATATTTACATTTTCATAAATTTGTCTTTACAGTGACTTTTTTGATATTGTTATCCATATTGTTAAACGTGTTATTTCAATTCTGAAGATTTACTACATTTAGTGATCAGCAAAACAAAATTGAGCTTACAATTTTATGAAAGAAAGTTAATCATTGCTGTAAAAGGACTTAAAATGATCATGATCCTTCTGTTTAATGGAACAGATTAGAGGCTCTGAATGACATATTCATGTTTCTGGTATGAAAATGTATTTACTAATGGTCTCAGATTGAGTTCAAACTGAACTATTTAGCAGTATTTTGATGGTTATGTTGAATTTGTATGTTACCAATGAAACAAAAAGAGCAAACTTTAAAATAAATACTTCAAAACACAAACTTGTGGATTCCCTTGGAGGGACAGACAGTACCACGGTGCCATGTGTGTGTTTCCCCATTGATATCAATGAAGAAACCTGCATGGAACTTGCAGGTAGAATCTGGAAACACGGTCTGTTCCATTTCAGAAAGCCAGAACAATAGAATTAGAGTTTATTGTTACACATTTTCATAAACTTTTATTAGCCGATATCCACATTAACTCAGTACACCTCCTAACTTGACAATCTCAGTTTCATGCCAGACCTGCTGAGTTTCTCCAGTACTTTATTTTTAATCACATTAGTACCATTTCTAGGAGCAGTACAAATTCCCAATTAAAGCTTGCTTCCTCAAGAAACACAATTCATATGAATTTTTTTTTGGCCTTTGGAGAATCCACATAATCTGCATAGCACTGGTCTGAAGCAAAACTGCATGAATTTTTTTAAACCTTAAACTTTAAAATTGAATGAGAATTTTGTACACAATCATATTTCTGTTCTTGTGTTTACCCCTATTGTCAAAGCTCTTAAACAGACTAAAAATGGATATGTTTGTTGTTTACTCATAATGTGACAGGCTCAGGACTCTGGCAAGCCACCACTGTCGTCTTCCACCTATATCCTTGTTAATGTGATTGAAGAAAGCATTCATAAACCAACTGCTATTCCACTTGAAATTTTTATTTCCACAATAGAGGATGAGTTTCCAGGAGGTGTAATTGGGAAGATCCATGCTACTGATCAAGATATGTATGACATCCTTACCTATGGCTTAAAGTCAGACCAAAGAAGTCTGTTCACTATAAATAGCCAAGATGGGAAGATTATTGCACTTGATGGACTGGACAGTGGCAATTATATTTTGAATGTGTCTGTCAGTGATGGGCGCTTCACTGTACCTGTTGAAGTTGTAGTTCATGTTGAGCAGGTGACTCAGGATATGTTAAACAATGCGATAAGTATTCAATTCAAAAACATCTCTCCTGAAGATTTTGTTGGACTTCACCTCCATGGATTTAGACAGAGCCTTCGGAACATTATTGCTGCCCAAAAGCAAGATACCCTTCATATCATTAGTATCCAGCCAGTTGCAGCCACACAGCAACTTGAAGTTTTGTTGGCAGTACAAATGTATAGAAATGGGTTTTACAGATCTTCTTATTTGATTCAGAAGCTTAGCAATGCAAAAAATGACCTAGCAAATGATCTCCATATTTCCACTATAATGGATAAGAGCTGCTCTGGTGAGGAGTGCAAAGAACAGTATTGTGAGCAGGTGACTGCTGCAGAAACACAATCCATGATGACCTACAGCACTGCAAGGATTAGCTTTGTGTCCCCCAGATACTTCAGGGATGCAACTTGCACTTGCAATGGTGAGTAGTACCAGAAGATTGAAAATTCTCCAACGTAGCATTTTTAAAGCTATCAAATCAGTATAATTTTTAAAAAAGCAGTCTTCTGACAATAATCTAAATTATCTGGTGATATCTATGTTGTTATAAAAGTCTTGATATCTGTATATTGTACAGTTTTATGTTTTCAAATAGACATTTGTCTTATAGTTGCGACATTTAGATGTGAATACAATATTTCTTAATCAAGCAATATAGTTTAATGCTGCCAAAAATTCAGTAAAATAATTACAGACGTGCTTTCTCACTTGAGCCCATTTTGTGAAACAACTTGTCTGAAAAACAAGGCAATGTATAGCTTGAAAAATAATTTTTGCTCTTATGAATGCTACTATTAATTTATTAATAGGCAACACAGTAACATTTCCACTTTGTGTGAATTTGCCAGTTATAAATTCATTTGCACATTACCAATCCTCACATTGTTTAATTAGTGTGGTGTGATGTTCATTAAAAAAAAACATAAACCAAAGGCCACGTTAATTTATGGAGCTTTTCCTTATGGCATCAAATACTGCTGCTGTTCTATACTATAGTGATGAACAGTTTTTGTGGATGTGTAGTTGGCATAAATTTATTTTTTTTTATTCATCTCATGTAATTGTTTTGACTTGAAGTGTAAGTAAAACAGCTGAACATCTTATTTTTTGGGTGGTGAAACTTTTTAAATCAGAATATCAGCCATATCATCTGAATAACCCTAAATTTAAGTTGCTGAAATTCACTTCTAAAAAGGAACTGTAAAGCTATTTTGCTATCTTATTCGGATGCTTTAATCAGTTTCTTCTTAAATAAAAACCAAAGTCAAATTTAGAAGCTTAAAACATATCTTTTAGTGTCCTTGCACCCAAGGAAACAGCCTAATTTTTAAAGCTTCACTGAAGGCCTTCAAATGAGCACAATTAGCAGGAATTCCCAGCATCATTAATTCACCATAGGGGCAGTCCAGTTTGTAGATAGGGCCTTCTTTCAGCAAGAGGTTTTTAAAACTTACACAAAATACCGCAGAAACTTGTGTCGAACATAAATTGCACGTACAATTCCACGGAGATAATAGGAACTGCCGATGCTGGAGAATCTGAGGTAACAAGGTGTAGAGCTGGATGAACACAGCAGGCCAAGCAGCATCAGAGGAGCAGGAAAGCTGACGTTTCGGGCTC